GAGAGATGATGGCTCAGTGGTTAAGAACACTGGCTGTTCTTGCAGAAGACCCAGGTTCGAATCCCAGCACCCACATGGCAGCTAACAACTGTCCATAACTCCAGTTCCAGGGGATCCGACAGCCTCTTCTGTCCTCCACGGGCATTGCATGACATGGGTGCACTTACCTACATGCAGGCAAAGCACACATACACATAAAATAAAAATAATAAATAAAATATAAAAATAAAATATTTATTTTTATGTGTATGAGTGTATTGCCTGCATGTGTGTAGGTGCGCCATGTCATGCAATGACCCCACAGGCCAGAAGAAGGCATCAGATCCCCCTGAAACTGGAGTTACTGACAGTCATTAGCCACCATGTGGGTGCTGGGAATCAAAGTGAGTCCTCTGTAAGAGCAACCAGTGCTCTTAACCACTGAGCCATCTCTCCAACCCCCGAAACGTGGTTTTTATATTTCTAATCACATGTTCCTGCACTTTCAATTCCTCTCTGGCTGAGTTCTTCAGGAAGGTACAACCTTCAGTCTAGTATTGCCCCCTCCCAGATTCCCCATCCTATTGATTAGGAATGTAAAGACTTATCTAATGTGTTTCCTGGGGCTTGAGAGTCCCTCCTTTTCTGATCATGGGCTCAGTCACATAGCAGACTTCCTGTAACTTCTCAGCCCTGGAGGAAGTCAGAACACTTAGACAAGCAGGTACTGGCTCTAGCTGAGGAAGACAGGGATGCAGGACCTCCTGCTTATCAGTCACTCTTTGATGAGCTATAAATGACCTCCTCTTGAAAATGGGCCATAATGATTTATGTCTTACAAATTCAATCTCCAAGATTCACAAGATCATCAGAGCATTTCCTGGAGGACTCTGGACACACCGTGCTGTGTGCCATTGTTGAGGACCACAAGCTCCAGGGCTCTGGATCTTACTGAGATAAAACGTCAGCTACAAACCTTTCCAGCCTTTGCCACTGATGGAGATATGATCTTTATTGTCTTGAATGGCCTGCTGGGCTTCTCTCCAGAAACCTATTGTATTTATTGTCCTGGACATGAAATCAGTTCTGGGGACACTGCATGTCCAGGATCCTGAACAGTAAACACAACTGCTCTGTAGGACATGTGATTTACAAGAGCACTTGCTGGTCCAACATTCTCGATAGATGGCACATTAATAGATAGATCAATGATACATAGATAAATAGATAGAAGATAGATAGATATAGGTAGATGATAGATTGATAGATGATAGATGATAGACAGACAGATAGATGATAGATTGACAGATAGATGATAGATCAATAGATATACAGAGATTAGATAGATATAAGATAGAGATAGATAGGTAGATAGATGATAGATAGAAGATAGATAAATGATAGAGATTAAATACATAATAGATAGGCAAATGATAAATAGATGGTAGAGATATAGATAGATGATAGATGGTAGAGATTGATAGATAGATGATTGATAGATACATAGATAATAGATGGTAGATAGAAGATAGAGATTGATAGATGATAGATGGATGATAGATAGATAATAGATAGATGATAGATGATTGATTGATATATAGATGATAGATGATTGATAGATGATTGATAGATATAGATAAATGATAAATAGATGATAGATAGACAATAGACAGATAGATGAGAGAGATAGATGATAGTTCTGAAGACAGAAACATGAGAGACCTGTGTAGAATTTCTTCCCCAAATAGCTCAGCTTGCACACTTTGCCTACCCTACAGAACAACTTCACACTTCCTTTCTTATGCCCCTTGTCTACCACATCTCTGTCTCCCCAGCCTCCCCAGTCCCCCACTGATATCAGGAGGACGTGGGCATTTGCTGTGGATGAATAAACCTAGCCTTACTGCTGGTGTCTCTGGTATGGCTTTGACCTTGCGAGGACATACATCACAGTAGAGAGGATCATGGTTTTTGCATCAGGGCTCCTGGTTGTTCACTCCAGGTCTTTTGATTACTTCACACACAGTTTGTGTGGAGCCCCCCTCCCCAGATCCCCATGATTCCTGGGTGAGCACAAACTGTGTAAGTGCATCGGCTCCAGCAGCACAAGGTCCCATGAGCAGTTTCCCAATGTGCACCTTGAGGGTCTTGCCCATCACCATGATGTCCTGTACACACTTAAGAACATCACTGTTAGAAAATATTAGCTTGGGGTTGACTAGGGCAAGGTTAAAATGAAAGATGAAACCAACCTCAGGATCAGATTGTCCCTTTTTAAGAACAATGAAGGTGGAGACTATTTCTCCGCGGGATTTGAAACTGCCCCTGGCATGGTTGGTGTGTGGCTTATAAGGGCTTGGGAAAGAGGAAATGGTGACTGTCTTTTAGGGTCTGGAGGTCTGGGGGATAATGCAAGTGCCAGTGACATGGTTTGAAGGTTTGAGAAAACAGGGGCTGGTGTTTGTTTTCCGAATAACACAGTCTCTGGGTTGGGGGTTTTACACAGTTCCTAGATTGGAAATTGCTTAGTCTGTGGTTTACTTAACCCAGTTTGGGGCCTTTTAAGCTCAGAAATTTATCTTTCAATCACAGCTCCCATTCTCTGCTGGTAGATCTGTTGATGTCAGCCTCCAGGCTGGGCTATCATTTTGCCTAGGTATGTGATTAGGCTTTGTGTCCTCAAGGAGGCTCTTGAACACATGGAGAGGTGCACAGGCTGCCAGAGGCTTGTGAGGGCCAGTGGGTCTACATCTGTGAAATCTAAACTCCGTTACTTCCGAACAGGAGTTTGAACTCTTGACACCCCAAGTCCTGGGTCTTCCCATGTGGGTCTCCTTGATGTGTGACACTGCGTCAACATCAGCCGCATGTAACAAGAACTGCCCAGGGTTGCTTGGGAGTATCATGGTGTTTGTGAGCTGTGGGGTGGAGGTAAAATGGGAAGATGGTATGTGAAGTTCCAAAGATCTGAGCTGAGGGGCCCCGTCAGTGTGAGAAAGGGGTGAAGAGCAGGTTGGGGAACTAGGTTTGGAACGGGCTTCATTTCTATTGGTTTAGACATGAATGCTGGTGTATATAAGACCACAGAGTAGGAAACAAATTTGGAATGGGTGCGGTTCTGTTTTGAGTTGATGTTAGAGTTAAGTTGGTTGAGCACTAGCTTGGGTGATATGGGGTTTGAGGATTGCCGGGTGATGTTAAAGTGTGATGGGTTGACTGAGTTCCATTTGGGGTTTGGAGCAGGATAAGGGGCATGTTGTGATGAAGTGGGGTGGGTCAGATGGACATGTGTGGGGTTGGCTTTGGGTAGGCTGAGATGGGCTGGCCTGGGCTTACTGGACTTCAGCTGAGTGTATGGATGTGGATCAAACTGGGATGGGAAATACTGGAAATCCTTATACACAGGGTGACCCTGCTTAACCCAATTTGCTTAGATAGGAACTCAGATACCTAATTACAGTCAATCCTTACCCCAGGCCTCATGGGATACACTTGTGAATATCTTAATTGACTTGTCTTCTCCCCTCCTCCTCCTGGGTGATTTCTTGGCTTGTCAGTTGAGAACAGGGGAAGATTTGATGGAGGATTGATTGACAGAGCTAGAGCTGGACCCATATGACATGTTCTGGTTTTACTGAATCAGCCAAGATTCGTGGAAGTTCTTCTTCTCATTGATGTAACAAAGACCACCTGGCAGGTGTCTGGTTGGTCTCTACTGTCAAGTTGGCACTGCCCTGAGTCACCTGGGAAGAGAGAACCTCAACTGAAGAGTTTCCCTGATTGAGGTCCCTCAGTGACGGACTGTGATCTGGGAGTGGAAGCCAAAGAAACTTTTTCCTCCCCAAGTTGCTTTTGGTCACGGTGTTTGTGATTGCAGCAGAATCAAACTAGAGCAAGAGGCAACTTAAGGGACAAAGGATTTCTTTTGATTCACATTTTGAGAGAGTACTGTCCATCCGTAGCAAAGAGTTCATGGTGGCTGGAGGGTGTGTGGCTAGTGCTCATCATATCCCACATCTCAACAGATGTGGACTTGGAAAGCTTGGGCCAAAGGTGGAGCCAGTGGGTATCCCTCAGGCTATGACCTGTGGCCCTAGGCCTGCCAGCTAGGCACCTGTCCAAAGGTTCCACAACCTCCCCCAAACACCACCACCACACGGGGATTGATTTTAAACACACAACCCTAGGGGAACATTCCACAGTCAACCATCACAACTTGTGGAAACTGTGAAGTTAATGTTGTCAGCTTATTGAGACCTATAATCACCAAAGAGATAACCTCTGGGCATGCCTGTGTGGGAGTTTCCCATACTGGGTCTATTGTGGTAAGAAGACCCATCCTGGGGAAGTGGGCTGACCACTAGCATCCCTGTCTCTCTCAACTTCTCTTTGGACTGTTGGTGCAAAGTGACCACCTACTTCATACTGCTGTGTCTGTGATTTCCCCTCCATGATGAACAATTCACTCAATATGTGAGCCAAAAGAAATCCTTCCTTTTTTAAATTGGTTTTGTCAAAAGTTTGGTTACAGAACTTAGAGAAGACACTAACATAGAAACCTAGGAAACTACATTGCATGGAACTTGGGGAGATGAACCATGGGCACTTAGGTCCTAAGAAGTAAATAGGATCAGGAGCCTCAGAGCCTCAGGCAAGTATTTGTGGGTACACAGGGTCTCTTGCTTGGGGTTTGGCCATAGGCAGATTTCTCCATGTGAGACATGGTCAGTGACCTTACAAATCATCTGTGTGTATTTCCAGGAGCAAGTTCTCAGGAAAAACAGCTCTGTTCATTTGGGCTCAGTCACTAGGAATAAATCAAGATTTTGAAGCTTGCAGGACACCTAGTGTTTCTTCTTTGATCTCTTGCACAGTTGGGAGGGAGGGAGAAGGTTGTTGACACCCAGCGTCATGAGCATGGCCATTGCCAACTTCTGGGTGCCAGCAGCAAAAGGGGAGGGCCCTTTGAGGAATGAAGGCTTTAAAAAAGCTCCCAGCTCCAAGTTTACCATCTAGCTGCCATGGACACCTCAGTCACCACTTGGTTCCTGGTTCTGAGCTCAGCTCTGTTCCCGGGAGGAACTGGTGAGCAGGGAGGAGGGTTATGAAAGGGAGGGGACCAGCTGCCACTCTTTCTATACCTCCCACACAGCACTACAGCCTTGACCCTGCAGCCCATGGGTCACCCAGCCCAGGGTACCAGGTTCCTTTCTACCTCTCCCAACCTCGCCCTGAAGTCCTGCCCCAGACTTTCCATGTCGTCAAACCTCCAAAATTCCCTCACTAGGTCCCTGCTCCCTCTGACTTGCCATGAAATATTTTCCTCTGCCCTAGCTTGGTTCTGAGTCTTTTCTGTCTCTTTGGAGTTCTGCAACTCGCCCAAAGACTCCTCTGCTTCCTAGGTCCCTAAACCCTGAGCACCCCTGCCCCACTGTTCTTTTCTGGTCACATGGTCTGGCTTCCAAGCTCGAAAATCCACCTACACCCTATTGACTGTTATAATCTCTTCTCAGTTCTATCTATATCCTAAGCATTGAGTCTTTTTTGGAACCCTAAAAATTCCTACCCTAGTCCTTAGAATTTTGAACTACCCGAAACCTCAATGCAAACTCTCATCATTCCCTTCCTGCCACTAACTGTGGTGACATCACACTGCCTTCTATGGCCCCTCTCTTGTCTCCAAACCAAAGACCCTACCACAGTCTCCTATTTCTCAGGCCAAGACCCCAGAGCACCTCACTGAAAAGTATAGACCCTGTACCTTCTCTAACTCTGTTTTAGGGACCCCTAGTTTTTCCACGCTCTCATTGCAGAGCAGAAACTCTCCCTACCTGGGACCAGCCAACTACCCTGAATCTCAGGCAGCCCATGGATGCCCCTAGAAGTGTCCCCTACATCCCTTGCCCACGTTCCCTGACCCCACAGTCTCTTCCTCCCAGTGACCCTGAAGACCCACAGCATTGCTCTTACAACTCCTATCATGGACCCCTGCAGTCCTATCATGGACCTGCACCTCTGACCCATCGCCTTTTTCACAGGTGCCACACCCTCCATCCAATCCAGGATCATAGGGGGCTGGGAATGTGAGAGGCACTCCCAACCCTGGCAAGTAGCTGTATGCCATAACAACACATTCAAGTGTGGCGGTGCCCTGATACACCCCCAGTGGGTGCTCACGGCCACCCATTGCATCAGCAAGTGAGTGGAAGGAGGGATTGGGGGCATTGGTATCCCTGAGGATGAATAACTAAGCATTTCCCTTAGATAGACTCACGAGAGGCTGGGGACCGAGGAAAAGGCTATTCCTGATTCAGGCAGCCTGGGTGGAGGCAAATATGAGGCTGCACACCCCTGTCTGTAGCAAGCGGGGTCTCTGGGTCTGTTTTGCTAATGCCACTTTTCCTCTCAACACCTTGATCTTGGTGCAACGACATGTGATGTGTTTTTGTCTCTGCCTTTTGTGTCTGTATCTCTGCATTTCCTTGATCTCTGTCCATATCTGCCTGTTTGGGGGGTGTCATCTGTCATGATATGCCTCCTCCCCTATGCCTGTGCTTGGTCTTTCTCTGGGTCTCTTCCTCATGTTCCCTCCCCCATCACTACTGACAGCTCTCCCAGGATGGACACAGGGGACCTCAGTGGAAAGGAAGAAGGGGTTTAACTTAGGCCTTAGTGAGGAGGTTCTTATCCTGCACTGCACAGCCCCTCATATTGGACTTTCTATCCCTCTGATTAGACACGGGGAGGGGAATGTCTGAGCAAAAGTGGGGACAGAAGGCAAAATTGCAAAAGGAGGGAAAGGAGGGTGCTGGGGAGGAATGAGAGCTCTGGCTTTGGGCTGTGGGCCTGGCCCAGGTACAGTGAGTCTGAGATTCTCTCTCTGTCTCTGTCTGTCTCTCTGTCTCTCTCTGTGCCTTGTAACACTGTCTTTTCTACTCTCTTCTCCCTCTTTCTATGCCTGACTTTCATGTCCTGACCTTCCTTTGTTCTCTCTCTCTCTCTCTCTCTCCTTGCCAAATCTTCTTGATTCCCTGCCCCCATTCTTTCCATCTCTTCCCCACCAGTAATTACCAGCTCTTTCTGGGTCGCCATAGTCTTTCTAGGCCAGAACACTCAGGTCAGCGTAACTACGTCAGCCAGAGTTTCCCACACCCAAATTTCAACATGAGCCTTCGAAACAAACAGTTTCCAGGGGCGGACTACAGCCATGACCTGATGCTACTCCGCCTGGCATGGCCTGTCCTGATCACAGACACTGTTAAGGTTGTGGACCTACCCACCAAGGACCCCAAGATGGGAAGTTCCTGCTTCACCTCTGGCTGGGGCAAAGTCCTTCCAGGTAGTAGGTGCACCCCAACCTTGTACCCTGGAGCAGGACATTGAGATCTGAGGGATGATGGGGATTCCTGCTGGGGTCTGCCTACAAACCTTTTTCTCTCTGACACATAGCTGAAATTCTGGACAGTCTTCAGTGCGTGGACCTAAACATCCTACCTAATGACAACTGTGGTAACACCTACTTACAGAAAGTGACAAAGTTTATGCTGTGTACCGGGCACCTAAAAGGTGGTAAAGCTACCTGCCAGGTATATGTTGCCATCTCCTGCTGGATGCCGCAAGGCTGAGTACAAAAATTCTAGGCCGCAATATCGGAGAGGAATGGGACTGTGCTCTGGAGAAAGTCAGCTTCCCAGTTCCCCATCACATCACTATCACCATCACTAAATCCTCCTGGTGCTCCATTGTGTGCCATCTCTCCACACTCTAGTGCATCGGCCCCTCTATCAATAACATTTCCTGGACACCTGCTGTGTTTCTACAGCATCCCAGACCCTGGGGGATGACATTGAACAGACACCTATTCATTTCCTAATAGAGCCCGGTTCGGCGGCGGCGGCGGCGGCGAATGGGCGCGTTGGGCAGACAGAAATAGGCAGCAAAACATGCTGAGGGAGATCATAAAACTCTGGGGCAGGGAGGAGAACCGTGAGAGAGGGGGATAGATAGTGTGATGGGGGAGGCTACATGTGTCACATGGAAGAAAGCGGGACACAGGTGAGGGAGGACCCTATCATATCAGGGACAAGGAGAAGGAAACCAAAGGCTAGATTCCCAGGAGAGAGAGGCTGGAGGGTGTGAGAGGTAACAGGGTTTGTGGCTAGACAAGCATTCTGCAGACAGTGTGTGCAGGGGTCTGAGGAGACAGAGGGCTGCATCCTGCAGGGCCTCAGCTGGGACACAAGGAGCTGCTTCTTGCCTCAGTGCTGGGAGCTGTGGGTGATGCTGGCCAGAGCAAGGCTGGGCTTGTGCTCATGGGCACCCTCTGGTGCCCATGTTGAGATCAGGCTGCAGGGCGAGGTGGGGCATGGAGGCGGTGCTGTGGGGATGACCTGGGTGGAGCCTGGGTCTCTCCTAGGTCTGTCCTGCTCTCCTCCCACAGCCTCTACCTTCCTATCTCTCCCTGCACTGCATCCCTTACCTTTTGGCCTTGTCCTGCTCCTGCTCACAGCCCTCTGTGGCTCCTCAGTGGCCTCAACAGGTGGAGGCCTAGTTTGGGAATGTTCCCTGGGGAACGACCTGTGAGATATTCCCCTTGTGGGGAGGGTCTTCTAGCTGGTCCTCTCCTCCTCTACTCTCCTGTCTACAGCGACTTGCTTCCTGAGTGTACCCTCCTGGGCATCCCCCATTTTCCAGGCCTCTATCCCTCTATTGGAACCTCTGCCTTCCACCTTGGGGCATGGTGCTGCAGACCCCACATGTTAATCAGAGCTGGTAATGCTGACATGCTCTCGCTCCTCATATTCCCAGGGTGACTCTGGGAGCCCATTGGTCTGTAATGGTGTGCTTCAAGGAATAGCATCATGGGGTGCTGGTTCATGTTCCCCCCATAAGTTCCCTAGTGTCTTCGCCAGACTGACATTGTATTTGGACTGGATCAGGAACACCATGGTGTCCAACTCTTGAGTACCATCACATGGTTTAGCAAGTTCCTCAGAGGTGAAACACTCCCTCTTTTAAAGAAGCTCCTTAATTGCTGGAAGTAAACAACTCAATAGCTTCAGGAAGTCCCTGAAACTAACCAGGTTCACTAGGCCCCTCCCTCCCCAAGCAGATATAATCCCTAAGGACTGCAGACAGCGGTTTTCAGACCAGCGGAACTCTTTGGAAGATGCAGTCAGGCTGAGCTGGCTTTTAGAGGCTTAGAGCAGCTCTGCTACCTGGAAGTGACACTCCGTTCTGTTGAGCTGTCTACAGTGGTCTCCAGATTTCCCACTTTTAAGAGTTTTTACTGCTGCTGGTGTGGGCTTTTGGTGATGCAGATGGGTGTCTTTGAGTCATTTCTTCTTTTCTAAGTCACCCCTCAATCCTGTAGGGAACCCTAATAAAACTCACTGGTTCACCAGGCAGGACTTTGGCGGTGTCCATACTTTTGGTCTGCCGCTGGTTTTCTATCTGGGTTCTGAAAAGGACCCAATGCTTAGGGTATGGATAAAACTGAGAAGAGACAGTAAAAATCAGTGGGGTGTGGGCAGATTTTTGGGCTTGGAAGCCAGACCATGTGACCAGAAAAGAACAGTGGGGCAGGGGTGCTCAGGGTTTAGGGCCCTAGGGAGCAGAGGAGTCTTTGGGTGAGTTGCAGAACCCCAAAGAGACAGCGAAGACTCAGAGCTGACCCCTTGAGTGACAAGCTAGGGCAGAGGAAAATATTTCATGGCAAGTCAGAGGGGGCAGGGACCTAGTGAGGGAATTTTTGGGGTTTTACGACATGGAAAGTCTGGGGCAGGACTTCAGGGACAGGTTGGGAGAGGTAGAAAGGAACCTGGTACCCTGGGCTGGGTGACCCATGGGCTGCAGGGTCAAGGCTGTAGTACTGCGTGGGAGGTGTAGAAAGCATGGCAGCCGGTCCCCTCTCTTTCACAACCCTCCTCCCTGCTCACCAGTTCCTCCTGGGGACAGAGCCGAGCTCAGAACCAGGAACCAAGTGGTGACTGAGGTGTCCATGGCAGCTAGATGGTAAACTTGGAGCTGGGAGCTTTTTTTTTTTCAAGTCTTCATTCCTCAAAGGCCCCTCCCCTTTATCCTACTTGCACCCAGAAGTTGGTGAAGATCCTGCTCGTGATCCTGGGTGTGAACAACCTCCTCCCTCCCTCTCAGCTCTTTGATAGATAACCAAGAAACACTGGGTGTCCTGCAAGCTTGAAAGTCCTGATTTATTCCCAGTGGCTAAGCCCAAATGAACAAGACTGTTTCTTTATGAGGACTTGCTCCTGGGGATATACACAGATGTTTAGACAAAGGAGCGTAAGAAACGAAATGTTAGTTTGTCTTGTAGGGTAGGCAAACAGTGCAAGCTGAGTTCTGCACAGATCTCCCACGTTTCTGTCTTCAGAGCTATCTGTCAGCTATGTATCTGTTTATCTATCTATCTATTATCTCTCTTTAATCTATGTATCATCTATCTAATCTATCTATCTATCATCTATCATCTATCTATCAATGTGCCATTTATCAAGAATCTTGGACCAGCAGGGCTGGAGAGATGGCTCAGTGGTTAAGAGCACTGACTGCCCTTGCCCAGGATCCAGGTTTGATTCCAATCACCCACATGGCTAATAATAAGTGTCTGTAACAGCAGTTCTAGGGTATCTGACGCCCTCTTCTGACCTCTGAGGGCATTGCTAAACATAGGTACACCTACCTACATGCAAGCACTGTACTCATACACATAAAATAAAAATTAAAAAAAAAAAAGAATCTTGGACCAGCAAGTGCTCTTGTAAATCACATGTCCTACAGAGCAGCTGTGTTTACTGTTCAGGATCCTGGACATGCAATGTCCCCAGAACTGATTGTTTAATGTCCATGTCAATAAATACAATAGGTTTCTGGAGAGAAACCCTGTGGGCCATTCAAGACAATAAAGATCATATCTCCATCAGTGGCAAAGGCTGGAAAGGTTTGTGCCTTATCTCAAAAATCCAGAGCTTGGATTTCTCAACAGCAGCACCAAGCCTGATGTGTCCAGAGTTCTCCAGAAATGCTCTGATGACCTCGAGGGACTTGGAGGTCAGAGTTGTAGTACATGTACAATTACAGCTCATCAGAGAGTCACCAATAATTGGGAGGTACTGAGGTCCTGGATCCCTGTCTTCCCCAGCTGGAGTCAGTGCCTGCTTGTGTAAGTGTTCTGACTTCATCCTGAGGCTGGAAAGGTACAGGAAGTCTGCTATGTGACTGAGCCCATGATCAGAAAAGGAAGGAATCTTGGGCTTCAGAATCCACAGAGCTGAGGCTTTACATCCTGGATCAGCCGTGTAAGGAATCGGGGAGGGGCAATACTAGACACGGGGAAGGCTGTGTCTTCCTGAAGAACTCAGAAAGTGAGGAATTGAAGGTATAGAGAAATGGGACTAGGAACACAATCACTGCTTAGTGCCAGCCATTTTTTACCTCTTCTCTAGGCTACGCCTGACTTTGCGATGGTGTAAGATAAACTGCTTTAGTTTCACTACTCTTGATAGAAGAAAATCAACCCAATGTTGAGCTAATACTATGACCTCAGTATAACTTTATTCCATGTGGTAGATGAATCAGTACAAACAAATGCATTTGATAAGAACCTTCTGTATGTCTAATAGTAAATGTATTTGTTGATATATGTCAAAGGAACACTTAGGACTTTGGAAGCGTCTACTTGTACTCAAATCATAAAGGCCACTCTGAGCTCAGTCTCAGACAGTCATAAAAACTGCAGTCTGTGAGTGCCTCAGCTAACGCCGCTCTTGTAGTGGCCTTTTGGGGAGCACTTGCTACCATGTGCCTTATGTGTTAAAATAGCTAAGATTGTACTGGCATCGGTGTATTACTGGGAAGTTACCCCAGACTTGCCCAAAATGTCTGCTTCTTTGTAAAACTCTGAGTGTTTAAATTTCCTATAATAACCTAAGGGGCACATACACTTCTGTGCTACAAGTTACAAATCCAGCAATATGATTACTACCCATGGAGCCATCTCCCAGTGAGGATTATTGATTCCCGCAATGTGGCTTCAATTCATCGCCCACTTGCCTGCTGTGCCATGAGAGATAAAGGGCCATCTGTTCTCAGTCAGCATCCGTGAGAACACAGCAGCCTAATTTGTTTGTTCATGGATCAGTAACATACCAGATCCTTCTTACATCTTGACACACACTTGGGCATTGAGGCTGCACATGGCCTGCTAGAGATGGAAGGGGCTTGTCATGATAATGACTAAGCCATGATGATAAAGATGGAGATTTTAGTGCTGTTATCCCATCTTCCTGAGTTACAGATCAATCATGCCTATGCACAAAAGTCATCATGATGTGCATTTAATACTGTTCTCCATCTAATTTGTATGTTCAGTTTCTGTTACCTGGTTGTATATTTCTGTCTGTGTTTTAGGACAAAGTAACTACCATGTACTGCTTTACTTGGTAAATGCTTAACCTTAGCCAATAGAACTAACAATAAAGAACTCCAGAATCCAGAAATACCACAGTTATCTGATGGGACCTGTGTTTGCAATTATCCTGTTTACTAAGTTCTGTTGTAAAAATGTTTAGCTTGCAGTAAATCTGCCATTGTAGGTCTGGAATTCTGGAGGATGGGAGGGTAACACTAAAATCTCCATCTTTGCCATCATGGCTTAGGCGTTATCATGACCAGCCCCTTCCATCTCTAGCAGGCCAGGTGCAAACTTTGTGCCCAAGTACCAAGACATCCAAAGGGTTTGGTTATTGATCCATAAACTTTTAACTGTTTAACCACAAAAATAACTTCCTGCTGGGTGTGGTGGCACACGTCTTTTATCCCAACAGAGGCAGAGGCAGGTGGATCTCTGTGAGTTCAAGGCCAGCCTGGTCTACATAGTGAGTTCCAGGCCAGCCCCACTACAGGGTCTCAAAAAGACCAAAAATAATAATTTAATTTCCTGAAATTGTCTTGTGACTATCTTGTGACATACAGGTAACTGATTCATAAATAACCCACCAAAGAAATCATTGCTAAAAGTGTTATATAAGACTCTATAAAACCTGCAAACTAAACTCGGGTGGGGGGGTAGCTCAGAACTTCAGAGCATTAGCTCATCTGGGACATCATGTGTGAAAAAAAGTGGTGAACTCTGCATCTCACCAGGTAAAGTGTTTCATTTCTCAGCTGTCTGATTTTGCATAATAATGCCGGGTCTTGAACCCAGAGCCTCACATATGGCCAGCAGGTGCCCTACCACTGAGCCACAACCACAGCCCTTCCAGCTTCTTTTCATCCAATAAGCCCACAGCTTTTTGGAAAACGTCATCTGCATTCAGGATAGATCTTTCTTACCAGTTGCTGACACAGATGTCAATCCTCCCTGGAGAAGTCCCCACAGACACACAGACATGTGCATCAATGGGCACAGAGATCTCTTTACTTAGTCAAGGGGACATTTAAAACCATCCATCACCACTGAACACACACATCACAGACTGAGGGGACAGTATGCGTGGGGACTTGAAAACCAGGGAACCCAAGGAAGACCCAGAGAAGTGACTGAGGCTCGGTCACACAGACATGGTCAGAGACTTCATGGTGGACCTCCATCATCTGGCTCCCAGAGAAGACTAGTGATACGAGGGGCCCTAAAGCCACCCACATCACCACACTGTTGAACACTGTGAGGCCAAAGTCCCCACCTGACTAAAGGCAGGGCAGGTGGGAGGGACACACCAAAGGCTTGTCAGGAGCTGGAGGCAAAGGGCTGAGCGGTTTGGGCAAGGTTAAACTGTACTGAGCACACTGTTGCACAGGGTCACTGTGAGGGTTCCGTGTGTGAGAGGCAGCACGTACCTGACTCTGGATGGTTCCTATGGGTGTGTATCAGCACGACTGAGTGCTTATATGTGCCAGACTCAACCCTCAGCACTTAGACACTCCACGAGGACAGTGTGGGGACCATG